TGTTTATTTTTTGACGTGCGCAGCAGACCAAAAAATGCATGAGCCTGAATGAGAGCACTGTTATGCCTACACTTTACCTGATTTTATTTTTCATTGGCTTTTATTGCTGTGCCGAGCCTTGAGTGGCTTAGCAGCTGCCACAGAAACGAGAGTACTCAATACATTTGCTTGCAGAGAGCATTTATCTAATCAAGTTAACAGTTAACAAATTAAACAGCGAAACCCCATTTGCGGATATCAAAGTGAAACTAAGGGACGATAGAAATTTTGATGGATAGTTCCCTCAACTGATATGAATTGCAGTTGCCCCTAGAACAGTCTTTACACGCTTCAGCATGGGCAATTAAACCAACTCCTTCAGCTTTAAAGCTAATACAGGATGTTAGGGAGAATAGAAGGTAGAAAGTATATAACTGTTGTTTAATACCTATTTAATATATCAATATTATTTTATTGCCAGTGCTATGGGTTGACCTACACATAACTAATACTACGAGATGGATGAGATACAATACGAGCAATGAGAAGTTATTACATAGGGATTAATATACGCTCTTTAGATATGTATAACATTCCCATTCAATCAGGCATGTGAGCATGCGAGAGAGAGAGAGTTACAAAGATTATGTAATGTGTATATGTGATATAAGAGAATAATATAGTATCATCCATCATTTGGCTGGCAGTGCGAGTCTCTTTGGCCTATGGTTTCCCATCAAATTGCTCTTCTGCCGTTTGAATAAATAATGCTGTAAATTAAGTAACTAGAGTTCACTACTCAAAATTCACATAAAGCGCAAATGCACTTGGCACTTTCCTAGACGAACATGCGCGCATTCTCCGCCGGAGCCACAGCCAAAGAGTGGCGGACGTGGGAGCCGTAGAAGAAGTTGTGTGCGGGACATTGGAATGATTTCATTTACTTGCAATCAATGAAATTGCACTGATGCAATTTCGCCGGGCCAAAATAAACAACAACTGGAGTGGGGAATGGCAAAAGTAACAGTCGCAGTAAAAGCAACTTGCAACTTACTACTTGCAACTGTTGCAGGAATGCGGGTGCGGGTTGCTGCAGACTGCCTGACTGTCTCTCTGTCTGTCTGCCTGCCTGTTTGTCTGCCGCAACAGATGCCGGTTCGACGTCAATGTTTGGGTCTCGCGGTCTGCAGCCGGGAATTTCTCATATTGCAGCCGGGACATTTCTGGCTAACAGCACGTTGCACCCGGACAGGCACCGGGACCGGCACCGGGACTGGGACGAGGCCATACTCAGCGGCTGCTGTGACTGCTGCCTTACAGCTGTCTTATGCTGATAGTTCACGCGCTGCCATTGAAGTTAAGACTGGGGGACTGGATGTGACAGCCAGCACAGGGATTTGAGAAAAATGTCAGCTTGCTTCGAGTCGAAAAATGAGCAGAAAACGTAGTCAGGGTAGGTGAGTACGCCTTGGCGGTGCGTAGTAGCTCCCAGCTAACCACCGGCTTAACCCATCCACAGTCGAGCGTCTCCGACGCAACATGCCGCGCCCGAGGAGGAAGGCGACAGCACGGCACAGGGAATGACTGCATCGAGGACCGACGCTGAGACGGTGCCCTCCGATGCGACGAGCCTCAGCACCGATGAAGGCCAACAAGAGCTACCAGGGATTCTGTCGGCGCCCGTCATCCTGGTGGCTGGTCCATCACCACCTGAAAATGACGATGCGGAGGCCAACACTGATCCTGAGCGCCCGCGCAGTCACGAGACAGGTGGCACTGAAGGCAGACGAAAGGGGCCATCTCAGAGTCAGGGTGTGCAGACGAGGAGATCCTCCAGCAACTCCTACGACTATGACAGAGAAGAGCCGCTGCTCACCAAGAGGACTAAGGTATACAAAAAAAGTACGTTTGATATGTTTGAATTTGTGGAGAATACTTCAGTCTTGGCAACCCTAAGTTGGGGAGGAAGTGAATGGACTTTAGCAATGGCTTCTTAAGAACTCACTTCTGGAGTGCTTCCGTTCTTAAACATCTCCCCTTTTTTCTCTGTTTTTAGGAAGTGTATCACGAAATCCCGCTGTCGATAAATCGGAAGACTCGATTCTTGATGTTATCACGTCCTCCCACCCTGCATACAATTCACAGTTAGTATCAGGAAATGATATGACAGATTTTCCGCAGTCTGAACCATCGGATAGGGAAAGAGCTACCGAAAGCAGCAGCAGCCTTATGTACAGCAGCAGCGGAACGATAATACTAACCGAGGCGGAGTTAATGGATCTCGATCCAGTCGACTTTCAGCAGGGCAATCTTCCGCCGCATATGAGGCTGGAGTCCGGCCTGGCCTTCGTAAGTGGGTGAGTGGAGGACGTTAGTCAGTCGCAACTGACATTCGCTTGCAATTACCACGTAGATCTACATGGCGATCCCGCCGGACGGTGGCTTTGGCTGGGTCGTGCTCATTCTCAGCTTTCTTGCCCAGCTCATTGTGGATGGCATCATTTTCTCGATTGGCATTCTGCTGCCCGCCATGGAGAAAGACTTCAAAGTGAGCACCTCCGCGGTGGCCCTGGTGGCCAGCATACAGATTGGATGCTACTTCATGGGCGGCGCCTTCTCCAGTGCGCTGATCAACAGCTACGGATTTCGGCCTGTGGCCATGCTGGGCGTGGCCATCTCAACGCTGGCCTTGTTGGTGGCCAGCTTTAGTCCGAATTTGACTGTCATGATATTGGTCTATGGCATCGTTGGTAGGTACCAAGTGGGACTGTGTGTACTAACACCCAACTACAAAGGCCGCAGTCGCCGCAGGTGGACCCGGATTGAGCATGATCTGGGTGAGCTCTCAGCTCATCATTGGATTCTATTTCGAGCGCTATCGTGCGCTGGCCAGCGGCTTCTCCTGCTCTGGTGCTGGTGCTGGCATTTTGATCTTCTCGATTACTAACAATTTGATGGAGCAACAGATTGGCTGGCGGAATACGGTCCGGTGTCATGCCTTCCTCGTCTGTCTTCTGATTTTTGTGTCGATGGCCTATTTGGAGGTGAAGCCATCGCCAGTGGGCGTAGTTCATCGCTTTCCGGAGATCAGCTCCACTTCTTCCGAGTACTACGGCAATTTCTACGTCCACAATTTTCTGAGCGAAGACCTCTCCATGAAGAGATCTCATCCCGTGCTAGATACTTTCGAGCCCAACAAGAAGAAGGAGACTAAGCGCAAACGATGTAGGAACCTCATTTGTCCCTGTTGTGTCAAGACTGATCATGACGATGATAAGTCCATGCGCTCTGAAGTCAACTATCTGGTACGGCCGGATCCTATGCAGCGCGACGATCTCTTCTACACGGGCCCCGTTGACTACGACGAGCCGCATCGCAGGGAGCAGTTTGATGGCAAGGAACTCGAGCTGGTGGGCACCGAGACTCATGTAAGCGAACCTCATCAATGCCCGGCCAAGGATCTCAGCACATTTTCTTTGCTTTCTCCAGCTGCAAAGTGCCGCCTATGGTCTGCACAATATTCACAATTATGACAGCACCGACATGTCGGAGTGGGTGTCCGTCTCTGACGGTTACGTTGATCACCGTCCGGTTATTCACAAGCGCGCCGCGACCCCCGTTTCTACTCAACAGAAACGCCACGTGTCACACAAGAGTCGCTGCTGGATCCATCAGAAAATCTTAAAGGCCATGAATCGTTTGTTCGACATGCATTTGCTGAAGAGCTATGAGTTCCGTGTGCTGCTGGCGTCCGCTTTCCTGTATCCCATGGGCTTCAATATACCCTTTCTCTACTCTAAGATGCGCACCACGGTTCCCAACCAACACGCCCAGATGATTGGCCCCGCCATCGGCACCTCCAATTTCATAGTGCGCATTCTGTGCGGCTTTGTGGCCTACAAGCTGAGAAACTGGACGAACTACATCTGTGGGGGTGGCATGGTCCTAGGCGGCATCGCGGTCTTAGTCAGTGCCTTTTTCGGCAGCGACTTGGTCTGGTTTCAAATTCTCTACGGGCTCTGCTACGGCGTTGCTCCAGGTGCCTTTCCCTGACTAAAACAGCACAGAGACCACGCTTTGATACTCTGTTCACAAGACAATGTTTGATGACTGACCGGCACTTGACTCTTAATGAAGAACATTGACTTTGAGTGAATCTCCTACAGTAGAATTCGGCTATAGCGATCGTCGTTGTAGTCGACCGACGATGCTATAACCGTATAAGTCTACTCATACGTGTGTAGAGGAACCAGATGTTATAAGCGGAGTGGTGATAGCCGGACAGATCTTCGTCTTTACAGCTCAGCTGCCAACGAATCTGCTGATGAGCTTTACCCTCACTCACTCTTGCAGTAACGAACTTAAGTCGTAGTCGTAATACTCATTCGTTGATATTGACTAACGGACTTTTCACACAACCAGTATACCCTTTTTGTAAACTTCTGAACAGAGTATTCCCAGACAGTCGGCATTCTTGCAGCCCACACCTTTTACCTTTTCGCGTTTCTCTCTTTTCAGCTGTCTATGCCACGTTGCGAGCCCTCATCTATGTGCGGTATTTGGGCCTCTCGAAGCTGACGACCGCCTTTGGCATTACCGCCCTGGTCATGGGGGTAGGCGTGTTCCTGGGCACCACCTTGGGTAGTGTTATGGTGGAGACGACTGGCGGTTTCATGGCTGCATTCGCGTTCGCCGGCTTGTGCATAATAATGTCGGGAATGCTGAAGCTGATTTTACCTGTTTTGATAAAGTCGAGAAACAATCGCTTAAAGAAAAAGGCTGTTTTCGTTTAAAGTACAGTTTACGATGCATTGGTTTTATTAATTATTGTTGTTGCTTTTGTTCTTATAGCTTGTTGTATTTTACAAAATATTTTATGCACTTGCACGGCTCGCTTGTTTTCCTGTTCTTGCAATATATATGGTTTTTGTTTTTACATTTTTTGTTATGTCTGTTTAATGTCTAAATGGATTTATTTTACATTTTATTGGCTACTCAAACTGTGGCGCGCACTGTGCATGTCCAACTGTCCAAACTCGGCTTCGACTTTTATAACTAAGCTCAAACAGAATATTTGTATTTTTTACATTACATTTCATTGACTGACTCTAGCTAGGCTTCTCAAACTGTCCAGTTATCGGCAATTGTAGGTTCAATAGTTGGCTATTCCCAAAGATCTATGCAGCTCGAACTGTGCTCTTCAATGCTTACTGTGTGACTCTCGAACTGTAAGTGCTAGATGCAGATCAGAGATGATATCAAATCAAAATCTTGACTTGAACTTATATAGCTGCCACCTCACGTACAATCTATGTTAGTTTCAAAATATCCGAATGATTGGAAACTATCGATATCTGAGTTTTAGCTAAAATTTGTTGATATTGCCTACGCTGTGACTCCCAAACTGTCTGTTAATCAACATGACCATCAAACCTTACTTTTATTTTGGCCTCTAATCTCCAATGAACGTGCTTTCTTTTCTAATTAATGTTTGACCTTTTCATTCTACATATATTTCGTCTGTGGCTCTCAAACTGTTTGTGGCTTACTCGAGCTGAATTTGCTAGATTTTCATCGACTGCAGTTGCTTGACTTTTGCTTTTCTGTTATTGCATTCTGTTAAAGTTTAATTAGCTTAGTTTACATCTAATGTTAGCTTAATTGCTGTTACACACACACGCACACTTTCATAGTGTAAGAGTATGTGTGTGTGTGCTGTTTTTTATATTTTATTACCTTGTTTGGTTACGCAAATGTTCACGCTTTGTTTTTTATTTTATTTTATTTTTATTTTATTTATTTATTTTTTGGTTTAATTTGATTTTAAGTTAATATACTTTGATATGCGAGGGCGGTTTAATAAAATGCCAAAGGTAAGTGTTACAAAATCTCTTAAAATTTCGGTTAAATGAAAAGCTAATTTTTGTATATTAATTGTTTTCATTCGAAATATTTAATTAATATTTACTAAGCCGCTCTCGCATCGTCGCTTTGAATCTTAAATTTGTACGTCTACTATAAAGATTTTGTTGTTCGCTTTTGTTTTTCTTTATGTATATGTATATATATATTTATATATGACACATAATTTGAAAGATTCGCTTGATTTGTTTATACATTAAAATTAGCTTAAGCAACTGAATTAAGAACTTAACGACAATTTATTGGGACTTTTTATTTTCTTGATTTCATCATTTCTTGTTTCGTGTTAGCCAAATGAGTGAGAGCTATTTTGCTTCACTTGATTCCTTTCCTTTAAATCCTTTTTGCTTTTAATATTGTCAGTAGTCTTCGGTTTCATATGCAATTTCCATGATTTTCCCTTTCATTATTTTTCCATTTATATATATGTATGTATATATGTCGAAAATGTTACTGTCTGCATTTGCGTGCACTTTTAAAATCAATTTTCAATTTCGTATCGTAATCTAAATTTAAATTAAAATCGCTCAGCAGTTGTTGGGGTTTGTCTCTGCCTCTCTCTGGTCTCTCTGGTCTCACTGCCTTATTCCTTCTGGCCCTCTCGCTCTCCCGCTCTGTCTCTCCCTTCCTCTCTGCACTGTTGTCCACGAAAAGCAATTCTTACGCCTTAAATTAAAATTATATATATATGGCCTGAGCTGGGGCAGAGCGCGTTCATGTGTCTGAGTCGGACCTGCAGTCATTATGGAAGAAATTAAATGCATATTTGAATACAATTGAGCACATTGGGCAATGAGTGGGGATGGACTGGGCAGGAGCGCAGGGTACTAGGGGTTAGAGACGATGGGGTGCTTGTCCGGCACTTACCAATTAAAATAGCTCTGCGGCCCGTGACAGTTGCGCTCGGTGCCACACCATTTGGACTGCTGGAGCGCCGGGCAGGGTCGGCCGCCGCGCTTGCCATGCTTGATGACTTTGCGATATCGATGCATCTCGCCAATGCCGCAGCTCTTGCTGCAGGCCGTCCACTCGGACCAGTGGCTGACGCGGCAGTCGCGACGCCGCTTTGACGCCAATGAAGCGCGACGCCGCGTCGAGCCTGCGCCGGACTCCGATGCAATACCCGATCCAGAGCCCACGCGTTCTGCTGTACCCGCAGCCGAAGCTGCGACCTTTGCCGGGTAGCCGGTGATGTTGTTGTTGTTGGCCGCATCGTTGCGTCTGTAGCTGCTCGCAATACTCTGCAGCAGTGCATGCTTATCGTTCTTGGGCACCACGTTGCCCACTCCCGACAGTTGGCTGTTGTTGTAGCTGCGAGTGCGAGAGAGCAGGCAGAAGTGGATGTCAAATTAATTAAATGGAAGATACATAATATCGATAGGATGCTTAAGCTACACATATAGTATGAATTTCATGAAAGAATAAATATCTATTACTTAATATATGGAATTTATTCAGATTTATTTTCCATCATCTTGTTGATGGAAAATAAATCTGAATAAATTGATATCTTTTCATACGTATATAAATATATAAATATRGTCTGAAGTCTACTAAAATATTTAACCAGAATTTCTGATATTTCAATGTATTTGTAAATATTATGTGATATTTGAATCATTTATTTCATTAATTAAATTTCCTTTTTTTTTTCTTTTTTCTTTCGAGTGTCACATTCCGTAGAACTGAAGATACCTAAAATGACGGTGAGTTGGAGTGGAAATAAGTGCTATGAAAGTTGAGTAGATAAATGATGATGATGAGTGAGTGGCGAATAGAGATGATTACATGAAATGATTGAATGAAAAACAAAATTACGCAGAAAAATATCTTTAAAAAATTAAAATAAGAGAAATANTTTGCAAATATTTGGAACAATAATTTTTATTATGATAATATTAATAATAATAATGGAGTAAATGTTGCAAAGTTGATGAACGTGGATATCAGATGGATATTGCGTGATTACAATACTCCTATTAAATACCTGAAACATTTATAAAAAATAATTCTTTAAAATATTTATAATTCCATCCAAATGGATGGAAGCAGAACTTGAAAGCCCCTTTTGGAATATAATAAATAGACTGATTAGGGTTTTCTATGTACTCAATGCTAAATATTGTTATCAGGTAAATGCCGCTCACTGTGCACAGTAGAATCGGGTATACCTTGGCATCGTTAGAGAGTTGTCTGGATGGATCTAAGCGATATTTTTCGTCGCTTGTCGCAGACACAGTGAACGAGCACAAATTGCGCATAAAATAACATTTACTTGCTAAAGTTTGAGGCGCTCGTCTAACGGTAATTGCCATAAATATGATCAGCGCAAATTGTTGCTAATAGCACACTCGCACACACATTCACATATGCACACACACATATACGCTGTGCTGGAGTACATTTTTGACTCTGGAGGAAAAAAGTAATGTTTGTAATTTCAATTTGGGGAATTTTCTTCATTACTTTCGCCAGGCAGTCGACAGTCGCGAGGCAGCTGCGGCCTTTGGCAGTGCGACAGTGTTTTCGTCGCTTTTCCACAGTTTTCTTCGCTTGGCTCTGAGGCTTTTCAGTCTGTCGACTCGGTTGGACTCTTTAGTCTGTCGCTACACGTTTTCAATATTTTCGCCAATTTACTTGCCATTTTTGCGGGTCGGAGCAGAAGCCCCCTTCCTGCTCTTTTGATTCCTTCTTTTTTTTCTTTTCATTATTATTTGCGCGATTTTGCACGGCATATACGCGGCATGTGTATGCAAATAAACGAAAAGTGCAGGAAACAAAACACGGAAGCCAACCAGGAAGGAAGGAAGGAAGGAACCTGACGGCGGCACAGCAAATGTTGCTTACATGCCCCGCCCCGCACCGCCCATCCTGCTCTCCACTGACCTGTCCCGTTCCGTTCCGCCTCGCTCAGCACAGCGGGCGAACTGCAAAAGGCAAATTTAAATTGAAATTGTCTACAGCTGACGTGCTGAAATAAGAACGCGCACAGCGCAAAACACCTTGCAACAACATGGTGAATACGTAATCTCTCTCGCTCTCTCTCTCTCTCTCTCTCTCTCTCTCTCTCTCTCTCTCTCTCTCTGGGATGGGTAATTCTCACTGTGGGCGTAGGTGTATTAAGGAGTAAGCCACACAGCTTTACATATCGTGAGCTACTTAGCGCAATCATAAAGGCAATTCTATCGATTTACAAGCAAACTCTTAATATAAGTCAAAATTCGTTCTACATGCTGATGCTGTTGCTAAAGAGAATTTTAATGATAGTAGATTAGTTTTAGCAAAGAATAAATGAAAATAAATTCTGAAATTATTTGCTGTTGACAGTGAGAGCTAGTTTAAATAGTTCCGCTTGTCTTTCCGTTTTCATTATATTATATTCTCCTGCTTCATATTTTGTCAAATCCGTCATAAATCTACCTGAACCGAATAAAATGATTTCTATTGTCTACATAAAACAATTTTGGGTCCGTCGAATATGGCAGCCTTGAGGGTTACCGTCGAGTACCTGTAATAAATCAGACTTCATGATTTTCTCTAGTAATATTAAATATTTTGTTAACTATTCAGTTTTTTCTTAGCTTTTCAGCTTATCGTTTTCAAATTTGATTTTTTTTGTTTGGAATTTACTTCCATGTGCTTGGTTATATTTTAAATAAAAAAAATAAAATAAAATAAATAAATAAATAAAAAGCAAGTAAGAAAGCTTTAGTCGAGACTGCCCGACTACGAGATCCACTGAACCTTTCGAGCAACTGATATTTCAATAATTATTCGCATATTTACACATAAACGCACACACACAGACATACGTACGCACGCATAAACACGCATTGGCTGCAGTGTTGGCCTACTATAGGAACTTAATTATTTAATAACTTTTCTTCTGGAATATCTTCATGAAACTTTCAGATTATGAATATAACATATAACATTTGCCAAAGCACAAGTCTCTAGTATTTGAAATACGCCTTTTACAAATGTAAGGGTGAGGGAGTGAATTAGGGGTGGGGGGTAAATTTTAACAAAACCCGAAATTGTATAAATCGCATATAATTATACATTTAAATTTTGGAGACTCTAGCTTCAAAGGTGTAGGAGATATATAAACTTATTACTGGTTTTCGACATTGTTTTTAATCGACCAGTTATCGATATTTAATGATGAACTCGATATGCGCGTGCTATTCACGGACCTAGAAAAAAATTCAAGTCTCTAGCTCTTATATCTTCTGAGATCGACGCGTTCAAATATACGGACAGACGGACGGACAGACGGACGGACAGACAGGGCTAAATCAACTCAGCTCGTCGCCCTGATCAAGAATATATATACTTTATGTCACGCCTCCTTCTGACTGTTACATACATTAAACAAAACCATTATACCCTGATTTCCCATTGAAAATGGGTTTAGGGTATAATAAAGCCACTTGCTATTTTGAATTTAATTCTGTGTAACAATAAGTAAATAAATAAAATATTTTAAATTTCAGAGACCTTTGGTTTGTATGAATTATAAAATTAGTTGTTTGGTATAATTTTATTCTAAAGTTAACAAATGATTGTTTTAGTTTTAAGATTCTTATATTTAAGCCGGTACTCGAAGAACCCTCTGGTAATACGACTCAGCTCAGTGCCAGTGTTAAAGACATTTTTTGGGGGATATTTTTTCAAGTTTAAGTAAACATATAGACAACACACTATAGATATACATATACTCCCTCCTGCATAACAACAACGAAATTGCGCTTCAAAAACTTAGCAATTTATTCACAGTCATAACATAAGGATAGATAGAAATGAAACATATACATATAGGAGATATTACGGGTTACACACAGATTCACACACGCTGAACGTAACTAAGTCTACATTATGATACAACAACAAACTTCCGGCTGGGTGTAGACCGTGGCTGTGGCTAAGCCGGGTGCTGGCGGTCCGTAGTTCTCAACAATGACGGGTGGTCGTGGGGCAGCGCCGACAACAATTGGCGGTGCGCCAATAACGACCGGCGGCGGAGCAAGGTTAATGCCCACTCCTATGGGCGGTGGCCGAGCGCCAATGTTGACATCCACATTAACATTCGTGCGTCCGGGTGGCGGTGGTCCGGGCCGAAAGCCCGGCGGGGGCGGGCGTTGCGCTGGGCCGGGCCCGTAACCGCGTCCTGGTGGCGGCATCGTTCAGATCCTCGAGTGTAGTTCCGCGGCCGTTGACTGACCGCTGACTGAATGCCGTCAAGTGTTTTTATCGCAATGGTCATTCACTGTGGAGTTGCCCACGAGTGGGTAAACTAATTAATTATCAATTACGCTTTGGCAGCGACGGTGATTTTGTTTGCACCTTCGATTAGATAAGACGCTGCGCGACAGTGGCGCTGGCTTAACTTCACATGCTGCTGATAAGACGGCTTTGTCATCGATAAGCGATGACTGTGCTGCCCCAGCGGAATGTGAGCCACTTAAACAACTCTGCTCTAATCGAGAGCTGAATGTTAAGTAAGCGAAGATTCTGACTAACAGAACAGCAGCTGTAGTGCAAGGGAGATAGCGATAGTTGAACTCGAACTCGAACACGTAACAGAAGAAGGAAGTTCTGTGCGCCGTAACAGAGCTTTGACTGTTAGTTTTCTCTGAGATTAACAACATTCGAATTTCCTTTAAAGTTAACAGCGTAATGTTATGTGCGTATTGATAACTCTGTTAATTACTGTTAAAATGCACAATCGTGTAACGTTATGTTAACAGTTGTTTACTTTGCTGTATAAATGTAATTGATTTGAACTATGTATACCAAAAATTACGTAAGAAATGTATTTAAGCAATTCGTTTTCTTAATTTTTTTTATTATACCCTGATTTTGTAATTGTGTGCGTATGTAATCGTATTAAGCAATATGCGTAATTAACAATATTGTTAATTACGTAAAAACGGTTTTATGTAATTCGATTTTCCGGCTATTTCTATCTAATCCCGTATAGTCTTACAGACTCAACTCAGTTTGGATTTGCATTGTTGCCTAGCAAATGGCGCAGCAGCAGCGCTTCTTGATGCCCTGCGATGCGGCCTCACTGGAATCCGTGCTAACTCTGTAGTTCTTGCTGCGCGTGTCGTTGTGGTCCACGGATACCTTGCCGACGAGCAGCATGGGTGGTGCAGGTGGTGCAGCCGTTCGCAACGGCGTCACTGTAATAATCTCCATTTGGCTAACAGCCGCTCTTGATGGACTTGCCGTTGGTGGAGTAACTGGTGTTAGTGGTGGACTCGCTCCTGTTGCTGCTGCTGCTGCTGCTGCTGTTGCTGCTGCTGTTGCTGCTGATGTAGGTTGTGTGCTGACGACGGCCAGTCTCTGCACCACCCACCCCGAACTGTTGGGTGTGGATGGCACCTGTTGTGGTTGCTGCTGAACTGTTTTGGGCGCCGGTTGCTGAGGCGGCGTATTCGAATCCGGTGGCCCTACTGTCTGCTCAGTGGTTGCAGCTGGTGTTGGAGGTGCGGACAGATGCAGCTGGGACTCAATTATGCGCGCTGTTTGCCTCACAGTACCCGTCGGCGAAGGGGTGGCTGGTGGTTGACTGCGCCTGAAGTTGGTGGGTGACGGCGGTGTCTGAATTACAGGTGGATTCGGTTGAGCAGCCGATGCCATCGACTGTTGTGGCGAAGCATCCAAATCTGTTAGCCATACAAGCTGATCCCCCTCCTCGGTGGGCGTTAGATATGGCGGTGAGCTGTCTGGCAGTGGTGGTGGCAAGCTTAGCTGTAGTGCAGCCTGTTTATGCTTATGCTGGTGGTGGTGATGGTGTTGCGTGTGCTGCTCTTCTTCTTCCTCTGCTTCTTCTAGCTGCTTAGTCTCCATAACTTTCTGCTCGTCACTGACATCAGTTATGGTCAAAGTCGTTGCCTCCTCCTCCTCCTTCGTCTGCTGATGATGACGATGATGATGATGTTTGTGGTGATGATGGCGATGATGATGTTCACGTATCCCTTGTGGTGTTTCAATTGTGGTTATATCTATCTCTTCATTTATCGTGGTGGCACCACTTATCGTTTCTGAGCTAATTTCTTCAATGCGCATTGTTGTTGTTGTATTTTCCATTGTATTTCTTGCACTCGCGGTCCGCTGTCCGTTGGGTATTCTCTGCGCTGCCTGACTAAAATTTCACAGTCACGACCCCGACAATTTATAGTCTAATGTTTATGTCATAGCAAATGTATTTTCATGCCACAAATCCATACCAATGGTCGCTAGTTAACTGATAAGATAGTTGCCAAAACTAGCTTTTATTTTGTCACTTATTCCGCTTTTGGCAACGCCAATTGAGTTTTCTGACAAAGGCGGAAATAGCAGTGCATTGAAAAACTATAGCATCCCTATAACTATATCAAAAGCTAACAATAGCCATTTCTATGTAAATTTGTGCGTTAGCTTTGAAGATGTTATCAGAAAACGTTTTATGGATTGGTGCAGTTGTGGTCAGAGAAGCAACAACCGACAGCAAAATTCTTTCAAAATAATAATATATACATATATATCTAATACACATGTTTCTAATTGAATACTTTTAATATCGCCTTACTACTGGAAAGAAAACAGTTTTTATTTGGAATGCTACTTTGTTTTAATAAATTCACATGAAGAGCTACCTGCAGTATTACTGTCATAGATGGGGTGCCTGATATATAAAAAGTCATAACATATACATATGTATCAAATTATTTTATACATAAATCTAAATAATTATATTTTTTTTTCTCGACATAACCCACTAAAAATAAATATCTTATCAATTTACTTGCTAGCCCCGTTTCCATAAGAGTATTTAATCTTCGGCTTATTGAAATAGATTTTGGTTTATTTGTTGCCTTCAGTTTTTAGCTTATTTGGCAGCTCTTTGATTTGGCATTTATCTCTGGTGGCTGCTGGGGCATTTTCTCTGCAGCTGCACCTTCTGCCTTGCTGGCTTGCTTCATCTGCTGTTGCTGCTGTACATTTATCTCTGGAAATTGCATTAATTTTTGATATGACTATTTCGATATAAGTTCCATGTACTTCGATCAGTTCTTATCTGTCTTACTGCTGCTCTTCGTTTCTTGTTTTTGGCGCTGTCTTTGTGCATTGGTTGCACTCGCTCCAATAACCACAAGTGTCGCTGGTGGTATAGACATCTCTCGGATTGTTGATGCTTTAGTCTGGGCGCTGCTGAGGCTACTGTTGCCACTCACAGGCATTTGCCTTACTTTTATTAGTCGCACAAGGCAGAGGCTTCACGGCCTGATAAGATATTAATAGATACTTCATACCTGTCCAAATGCCTGGGCTCATTTCATACTATAATTGATAACTCGATGACGTCATGTGCTTAAGGCAATTCAGGTGCGAAAATATTCTTGAGGGTATTCACTCGATTATGGACTGATAGATATTTTAATATAATAATAAATTATTGACTATTGCAATGTACTGTGGATTTTTATTTTATTTTTTATCTTCTGTTTATTCGTATTCATACACATAATTTTGTTCAATTAAGGATGTCTTATATATATTGCATTCTATTTTTTTTTTTAATATCTTTTGAGAACGATAAACTCGCTCGATATATATTAGTGGAATTGGAATTGAATTTCTGGGATTTTTTTTTTTTGGTCCTCTTGGAGATCTCTTGCTTGATGTTTTCGTTTTAGTGTGCTACGTATATTTGGTAATTTATTGGTTATTTTCTATAAAAGCAACCTTCTAAATATTGTAAACTCGAGTCAATCAATATACGATTTTCTCTGTTTCTTTATTTCTGCGCATAAATATTTTACAGACTTTTCACTTGCTCCATTTCTGCTTTTAAAATAATAGAATACTATAGAGATACAGTTAGATCATCTGCTTCACTGAATTGAAGTTCTACGAGTGACTCTAGAAGTGATATCGCTACAGAACTTCTTAGCTTCTATTTCGATATTAATTGTTTTTAATCTTTATTCATCATTAATCAGGCATGAATAATTTTCTTTCGCTTCCTTCTTTAATTGGCAGTGTCTTGTCCTCTGCATTTTCCATGTCGGATTCTTTTTTCTCGTGCCCTTTCAACAGTTTCTTGTACCACTTTCTATGTGTTTTCTTGGTGTTTTCTTTCAGCTGCTGCTTTGCCTGCTGCCGTTGCTTTCGCTCAGCTGCAGATTTGATATATTTTTAATAATTGAATACTGTTTTTCTTGCAAGTTTCGAGCTTACTTTTCGCCAGCTGCAGCTCGCGTTGGCGCTGCTGCTGCAGCTGCATCTGCATCTGCTGCATGCGTCCCGGCTGCTGTTGTTGCTGCCCCTGCATGTTGCATGCGCTGTTCATAGCAATGAGCGTGATAGTCGGTGCCAATGCGTACATGTTGTGGCCGCTGAGTGCAGGGTCGAGTGAGTGATGTGGGTGGCTTTCGAGTGCCTCGGCTCTTATAAACAGACAGAGCAGCGGAGGCGCGCGCGCTGGCATTGATAAGATTGCGAGTAATTACACTGTCCGAGCAGGTTTTGGCGCTTGGCATTGCTTTGGCTGCTTTGGTTGCTCTGGCGCTGTTGGCGCTTTTGTCAGCTTGCCAATTGCTGTTGAAGCCAGCCAGCCACGCCCACGCATGGCCATCGGCACTTTAGCCAGCTGGCACTCAGACACGTACGCAGCCACCCTCCAGCCGTGCAACGCCTCCTGCTTAGCTCCGGCTTCGGCTTGTCATTAAATATGCAGGTTAGCAGTGCCAATGGTGCCAAAAATCCACTCCAGTTGCACGATGCATCGTGATGGGCGTGGCACTGGATTAGTTGTCGCCTTCGCGCTTCGCATCCTGCACGTCGAGGACACTGTTGTCTATGTCGAGTTGAAATCCTGTCTTGAGTTTTTCGAGCCCATTTGTATACCCTGGCAAGCCACGGTAAATGAATTACGCTGGATCTTATATCACTTAATCAATGTGCAGTCGATGGCAAATATATCAATACAATATAAAATTCGAATATTTCTTAGCGAAACTCTTCAATTTCAGCATGAATTTTGGTTTATTATTATTATTTTTTTTTTTTTTTTGCTATTTTTATCTAATATATAGTAAGTAATATATTAACTTAAAATATTTGTGCTAAATCGTGCTAAAATAATCGCTTTTAAGCAGATGGCAACCAATTAACCTTTATTGATATTATAAATTGAAAATTTATAAATTTAGTAGAACTCAGATATGCCGAGTTATACCCAAAAAATAAACACACATTTTATTCTATCAAAAAACTTTTGCCGACGACTGTCTATATATATAACCCAATATCTCATCTTAGCCCAGGCCTGCCAATAAATAAAAAGCGAGTAAATTATTCTTTATGACCCGCCTATTGGCTATAGAAATTTATCTGAACAGACGTCAGGAGATCATCATCACAGCATCACTTCATGCACTTGTAAATATATTTGTTAATGGGGATTGTGAAACGAATTTACTCATCCAACTATCTCATGGTAGGGTACTCGAGAGGCTCCTTCGCTCAACTATCTTTTGTCAATCGGATCCTGAGCTATCGAATTGTTAAATCTCATGGTAGGGTATTCTTTAGCTGTCTCTTTCGCTCAACACCAGCGTTTTCTTTCTTTGTCTTCCTTTGCTGCTGCTTTGGAATTGGGGCGAGTTCTCTTTAAAGTTGCAACATTAGCCCAGCTACGTGCCACGCTCTCAGCCAGTGTCTTGGGCCCACTTGCAACCTTCTTGCAGTGGCGTAGTGTAATGTGCCTTGAAGTGTGTTGGGCTGGAGAGCAGCTTTTGTTTGCTGTTGCTGTTGCAGTTGTTGTTGTTGTTGTAGTAGTTGCAAGCAGCTGCTTGAAATATGCTGCAAGCAGTTTTCCACGTCGCAGACAAACACCTGACGCATATGTTAAGTATGGCAAATTGATGTTTGGCTCGCATTGGCAAGGATATGCAGACGGATCCTGCCTTTCAGGCTGCATTCCGTCATTCACATTGCGCATACGTCACGCAGCTGCTTAAGCAGCTTACGGCTGGCTCTATACACATGTACAGACATATTCATAGATATCTCTCGATAGACATGCATTGACAGAGCTTAAAATTTAAGCACTGACAGTTGAAGCAGCCTTTCGCTTCTGAGGGAACCACGGCATTACGCATACGCCTGGTGGGTTCTTTACTCTTCATCTACTAACAAATCACTTTTCTATTTTTAGCTTCAATGAAATTATTCCGTATTCATGAACAGCTGAGATTTAAATATACAATTTCTCGAAAATTATAATTAGCTCTGGCCTTGAGCTCAATTGTTATGGATTGCTCCCCAAGAGACTCCATTAAAGCTAATTACGCACATTAGTCGATATACTACATTCAAATTAATTGGCTTAATGTGAAAATTCTTTTAGGCACTGGTAAATTAAGAAATGTGGAGTGAGATGCACGACAAATTATTATGGAATATTTTATTATTTTGGGTTTGGGTTTTTATGCTTTACCGTACTCTTGTACGTATCTTGTATTTAAGATATCAGAATTGTATGCAATTCCTAAGAATATATAGGAACATTAAACATTTCCAGCAGTATTTACTTTACGTATTTCCTCAGTTACAATTTCAAATATAATATGAATTCCCTGGGTCTACTCACTTGGGGTTCATTTTGGCCAGCAGCTGGGAGCGAATGCGCTGTCTCTCATCAGTGAACGGTGTCTGCAGTGCCCAGTCCCTGTCCCGCTGCCTCTCCCGCTCGATGCTGGCTGAGAGCTCGTTGTTCATCTCCACGTGATTGTGCTCGGCGTCGAGGTGGGTTTGGGTCTGAACTGTTTCATATTTGCGATCGTCCTCGGCAATGTTGAATACTTCGCTCAGTTCGTACTCCTTTAGCTGCAAGAGCGGAAAATGACGGAATTTCAGACTGGGCAAAGCAAATGTTAAACACACACACACTTACATGAGCTCCTCCATGTGTATGTGTGTGTGTGGCATATTAATTTACGCGGATTATGTGCCTGGCATGAGCAAAGCAAATGCTTCCAGCTAAATACAAAACAGGTGCATGAATAGCTCCAAGTGTGTATGTGAGTGTGTAAGTCGTATTTGTGTGTGTGTGTATGAGTACAGGTGCAGCTAACGCGCTGCTAATTTCAATTTGTGGCAAATATTGACACAGACACAGCACAGAATAGAACGTTGTGGCAGGTGTGCCCGTCGGGGAGGAGGCCAAAGAGGCAGAGAGGCAGCTCTTCCTGGCTACGGGGTCTGTCTGACAGCGACTGGCGGAGGGAAAGCAGGGAAGGAGAGAGAAAAAAACTTTTGCTGGCGCGCTGTCGCGCATTTTAATTTATTTGTTTGGGCTGCTGTCATTTTCTATATAGCAGCGCCTCGCATTGTTATTGCCACATTGTTGTCGTTGCTGGGCTGACTGTTTTTGCCACAGTTTTGGGGCCAGCAGCGGCTTATCAGGGGCTACCTTTTCGCAAATGCGTCGACAGCGCACGGCTCAGAACGGCGTGTTGCTTTTGTGGCATTAAAATACACACACACACTCACACGTACACTCATATACATATATAGACATAATCCGCACACTGCGAAATTCCTTGTGGATTACAAAAACAGAGCCAGATCCAAATCCAGCTCTCAGCTCTCGCAGTCTCAGTCTCAGTCTCAGCCTCACACAAATTCCATTCCAATCCGAGATTTCATGCCCTTTTGGCATGCGGCAAATAGCGTACAGAGCATTTCTGGCATTCACTTTTGCATTTCACAGAATTTAAGAATTTAATACCCAACCAAATCAACACATAATTATACCGAATAGCAGGCAGTGGTTAGAGGACAACAGGCAGAGAGCAGGGGGCAGTGGGCGAAACTGGAGCTTGGCTCGGTCCACACATGTCTTGGCCATAAAATGAAGCAGACGCACATTTCGCCTAAGTAAATAACTTTCCATTTCGTTGGCCATAAACAAAAGTAGACAAAAATAAGCTGAATAAATGCAAGAGTACCCCTAACAGCGGGTATTGTATACCCTTTCGTCTCTACTAAATTGTCTTGGAAAAACATATGACATAAGAAAAGGATGATTTTAACATAAATATTGTATAAATATTTTCTTCTCATTATATTTAACAAATAAATAATTAACTCATTAAATGAATGAGTAAATAAATAAAAAACAAAAAAAGGGAAATATAATTTCATTAAAAAAATTAAATTTCTTCTTCTACGTGTAAAATATAATAATTTATTAGAAGATATGCGATAGTCCATATACTCGGTGTTAGGGCAAACAAAGGAGTAGCCACTTTTACTGCCTTCAGTTCTTCCCACAAGTGCCACGCCTCCAGCCATAGAAAATAAAACTAGAATTAGTAGTGTCAAAAAGGCGTTACAATAGCAGCAGCAGCAACAACAAAAACAACAACAACAACAACAATGACAATAACAACAGCCTCCCCACACAAGAACGAGGCTTTGGCCAACTGGCGCTGAGGCTGGCCGGCAAATAAAGAATAATGACCGCACGTACAGTGTAAGTGCCACGCCCACACCCAAGGCTCAAACTATGCAAACGTAGTCGAAACAGCTGCCAGCCAAGGACTAGGCGTAAATTTTATGTGCGGCCGAGAGACGCACATAAAAGCAATTTTGATGAGCGCCAACGACTGCGGGTCCGTTCCCCCCGTCCGAGAGTTGTGGCTGCTCCTAGGGGGAGGTACAAGCAGCGGGAGGCGAGAGGCGAGAGGCAAGTGGTACGATTCTATGTGCAGTGTTCCTTATGCATGGTGGAAGTGTAAGTGCCGCACTTTCTGAACAACGTACGTCCAGCAATATAATTACAATGCCTGAATAGCCGCCCTCTCTCTCTCTCTCTCTTTCTCTTTGTCACTCTCTCTCACTCTCACTCTCTGTGCAGACGTTTTTACTGGGCTTTTTTTGAGGGTGCCTTTCCACCCATAAGAAATTTAGCATTCAGATTGTGCTGAAATGTTTCACGTTCAGGTTTCACGATTTGCGGCAACTAATGGATAGACGCTTATTAAGGCCAGTGGCAATGGAGCCCATGGAAATGCGACAGACCCCATTTGGGTGGTGGGGGCCAATCGAGATCGTGGCCAAATGTAACTAAGTAATGTAATGGCGATTTATATATAATTTATTGAATACAAGTATTCCCGTAATTGACGCGCACTACGGGGACTGCATTTATATGCGATCTGCGACAGAGAAGCCTGCGCCTGGGTTATATTTTACGAAATTGATTGGGGACCATGGGAACCATTTGCTAGTTATATGAAGTACTTCGAGCTAGCCAGCGGAATATTGACGGGACTACATTAAGGGAACTGCATTTCGTTAGGGTTCCGGAATTTGCTGCATCTGCTTAAATTTAGGAGACATATGAGGCATTCATTGAATGAATCACATGTAATTGATATACAAACTATAAACTAGAAAGGGATATCATTCATCATTCATTGCTGTTCGTCTCATCAAATGCTGCCAATCACCTCTCATGTGCAATCTCAATACTAACTACGAATTAAGTCATAGCCATGAGAAAACTTTAAACTTATATCATTTATACATATATATAATGTGTATAGAATTTCAGTTCAAATTACTTAAATTAATGAATATTCAAATTAATGAAACTGATCTCGCCAGCCTAACAAACATGCCAAGTAAAGCCTCTGAGCTTTAAGGCTTGAACAATCAAAATCAATCAAATCAACCACATTAAACAATAACTATTTCACCCATCAATAGCATACATGCATTTATTCATATATGAATTATTATATTCATGTATTGACACAACTTTCGTTGCATATTCCATCTTGAATTAAATTCAATATTTTGACTTATATTCTTCTATTCTATTCTATTCTATTCTATTCTATTCCATTCTTGTTGTACTACTCTTGACCCTGATCGCATAATACGATTGTCTGGCCAGCACTTATGAAGGAGGCAAACCAAATTCAGCCATTAAAAATTCATTGTTGGGGCCACAGCTTTTCAACATTTCATTTAAATGAAATTAACACAATTTCCTTCATTTTTTTTTTTTTTTTGCCGAACAAATTCTTCTGGCTCGCGTTTTTCGTTCGGCCCGCTTAGCGTCAGCTGCGCGGCGAAGGCAGCTGATTTATAAAGCGCATTAGCACGCAGCCACAGGAATACGGTCTGGTACCTCGGAGCACACCCACACACCCACACACACAACGGCGTTACACATGTTTGACGCCATTGTAATGCTAATGGCTCATTAGCACTTTGATTTTTTGCGTTGTGGACTGGGAGTGGAGTCTTTGAAGGGCGCACATGAAAAGTCATTATGGCTGTAAACGGGGGCACCATTTTGACTGCTAATTTGCAGTTAATTAAGTTGTTTAAGCTTTTTCAAGAGCGTTAACTCTGTGCGCGTCCAGCTCCCTTACCTTGATAAACTGGAAGGTGGCGATGGGCGGCAATCGCTTGCTCTTCGGATAGTAAAAGCTGCCCGCCGGATGGGCCGGATAGCGCGAGGTGATGCGATAGATGACGCCCTGGGGCGCCGTTGGCCAGTTGGGTGCGGTGAAGGTGAAGCCGTTGTCGGTGCCCGCATCGAGTGGATCCAGCTCCACGGTCACCGTATCAATCCAGGAGCCGCCCACGCAGAGCTGAAGGAGAAATTGAATAATGCTGGGTCAAGCGCATCGGAATTGATTTGCGGGGTCTCACCTCAAATGAGTCGACGCCGATGAACCAGTCCGGCGAGGGCACAATGCGTGTCATTAGCGACACCAAACTGTGATTGCTGTCCACAAACACCTTCGCCTCACTGCGTCCCGCTCCCAGCTGGATGGCCGGCAGGCTAAACTCGTCAAACACGCTGCGCTCGGCCGTTGCAGGAGCAGATCCTGCACTACCAGCACCGGTTGCTGCTGCCGCTGAGGTTGCCCGTGCCTGTGCCTGCATCTGTTGCTGCTGCTGCTCGCCGGCATTGCTGTCCAGCAGCTCCGTTTTGCCCGTCTCGGCGAACTGCTTAACGCCTCCCGTTGCCGGCTGTCCGATGTGGTATAGCGCATAGTTGGCATTGTGTGTGCGACCTGCAAGTGAGAAAGAGAGCGGGAGTGAGTAAATGAGGGCGCTGAAAGGTGTTGAGTCATTTACATTTAATGAGCTTTCGCAAAAAAAAAAAAAAAAAACAAAGCGAGAAAAAGATGAAACAATTGCACCAAATTGCGCAAACATTTGCATTGCAACCGGCACGCGACAGTCGACACTCGCAACTCGAAGCAGGAGACTGTGGACTCGGTTCACTGCCGTCAGCTGCTTTCATTTGCCGTCAGCTTAAATATCAGATTAAGCATACGCCGCGTGGCACAAATTGCCCCCGCAGCTGCATTAGAGCAACGCTCATGTGTGCGCGCTAAAGTATGTCATTAGTAGGGCGCTTTCGCTGCTCACATATGATACGTTCATTATAGCAGGTGCTGGAAAAAGCGCATGGAGTAGGCACTTAGCTCTTAGCAGAAACAACCTGAGCATTCATACGGATTATATGAAATTGGAATATTTGTAATTATTATATAATGATGGATTGATTATAATGATATAATAATATTCTAAACAATGTTGGAACTAATTTTAAAACCAACAATTAATATAAAAATATTCCATATTATCTGACAAGTGAATCAAATATCAAGAGCAGTTAAAAATATTTTTAGATATGGCAAAGTTTACTTCCCGTTCAAAATATGGAAAGAGAGTCAGAGAAAGAGAAATGAAAAGCTGACCAAAATTTTACAGCTTGAGTTGAAAATCGATTGATTGGTAAGGAGAAGAAAATATGAAATAATATTCGATACCTAATGTATATTATACACAATGCAACTATTAATTTCTTTATTTATACCAAGTCATATGAGTTTAGTCCTCATTCACATACACAAATACATACATACATACCAAGAAATATATTTGACTATGATGGTGTTTAGTAACTTCATTCTTCTGAATCAGGATGTTTATACCTAGGCTTATGCATATTTTCAATCCTCAAATCTACTGATGAGTTTGTAAGGCTCGAAATTCGTCTCTTACATACTCAGATCACTCAGGGGCTCAGTCCACACATTGGCCACTTATTGATTCCTATCGTAGGAGGCATGAATGCGTTGCTTGTATATATGTATGTTCATGCATGAACATATACATTTATATATTCATACATATTTATGTACATACATGAGTAATTAAAGCATTTGTTAATTCTAATTTTCATATGGAAGACTTACAGGTGTTGCATTTAATCGTCCCCCATTTAGCGGGGCAATCCCATTCAAAGTTACTCAATTCATCAATCAAATACTCGTGCAACTTATTCGAAACAAAGTTTTGCATTGATATATATATGAGGCCATTCCCTGTTTTTGTCAGCCGAGATGAGCATCTAAGTTATAAAATGCACAAATGGCTATTCACAATTCCTTGGGCAGTTCTTGGCATCGCTCGTGCTGGCACACAAAAACTTTAGCCGTGCCCTACTTAATTAGGGCCATAAAAAACGTCTTCTACTTATAAGCCGTCAACATCTTTCAATCTCAATTGCTTTCATGGCAACAGGAATCCAGGCAAAGTTTCCGGACAGCAGAGTCAAAGCCAATTCCGAGGTCCGCGCAAAGCGCCATTTGCAATTATTGGCAAGCGACCCAAAAGTATGCAACAAACTTGTCAATTACACAAAGTGCAGGGCAAATAAACAGAAATAAGCGAAAAAATGGGCGAAAGAAGGCGGAGAAGCGAAAATAAAAAGCTGAAGCATAAATAATAATATTGCATTTGACACAGTTTCCAAACAGGTTGCCCATAGGCACCCGCCCGCGTCCCTGCCCTCGCTTCCGTCTCCGCCAACAACCCTCTCTATTTGCTGGCGGCATTGCATAAAAGCGCAAAAGTTGAAAAGGCAAAAAAATGCTTTGTAGTTGGGGCTTTCATTAGCCAAGAACGTTGTCAGAAAGAGAAAAAACTTGTAAATTAAAAATAAGTACGAAAGACGGAAAGAGAAAGAGAAGGAGAAAGAAACAGCTAGGAGGGAGGGAAAAGAAAACTAATAAATAAGCTGACACACTGTGGGAGCCATTGAAAAGGCAAATGGCAAAGAAAGGAAAGCAAAGAAAATATCTCAAATACACAGGAAAACAAGACAAGTCGGCGAGATAAAAAAAGAAACACGAAATGTGGCACAAGTGGCATGTTGCAATGTTAATTGAAGACAAATAAAAGCCTAGCAATGGCAGCTGACTGAGACAACTGATAGCAAGAGAGGGAGAGGGCGAACGAATGGGGAAGGTGGGCCGAGAAGATGTGGATGAAAACAGACGGAAAACCGCAGCCAAGAGCAGCCGCTGCGATGCGGCTATAACTTCAAAGGCGCTGCAGCGTATGTGACAGAGTGGGCGTGGCAGTGGGCAGCAGCCACTGCGGCAGCGTGTGACAATTTCGTTGAGCCACTAAAAACAAACAGAAATAAAACAGAAACAGAAACAGAAGCAAAAGCAGAAGCAGAAAAAGACATCGCTCTGCCCGAAGGCGAATTGGAGCGCAACATTTTAAATTACTTGTGGCAATGGACATGATTTTTCTCTCTCTTACAAAAGAAAAGAAAATATGTGTGAATAGAGGGGGTGAGAGAGAAAGAGAGACTATATATGAAGCATGAATATTCTATGAGGCTTTGGCAAATAAAAAAGTCTGAACGAAATCAGTTGAAAAGTCGTAAAGAGATAAAGTATCAAGTGTTAGAAGAGCAATCCTGAGATCTGAAAAAATTACATTATTGAACTAATTATGCAAGAAGTCAGAGTAACCCTATGCACTCAATATGAGCGTGACAAGCTATCAGATACCCTGAACCGACCTAACCGATCTGCATTCACAAAGATACCAATTTTAATCCGTACATGAGCACACACACAAATAAACATCTAGAGTTCTAAGCATTAAACTGGATGTCTTTAGCTCTTATAAGTACTGAAAACAACCCATACATATGGATAGACTAAGAAATATATGTACATTCAATTATAAAATAATTGATGATGGCGTCAATAATATCAAATGTAGTTAAAATGTGTATTACCTTAGAAATGGCTAAGCAGTTTGTTTCATCTCTGTTGTTTTCACTGAAGCCGAATTAGACTTGCTTCTGTGGTAACAACAGAGATCACTGATTTCAAGATCTTGCATTGGGTGCCTTATATATGTTAGAGTTAATAAAAAATTACTGACAAACGGACATATATTTGGGTATCTTTGATCTTTGATATCAGCTTTAACAATACAAGACGTGCTGCCTGGACTGCGCACAGGTAGAACATCTTCAGGCCTCGAGCCAGAAAGGGTCGCTAGATGGCTGCTTTACTTCCACTATTTTAGCCAGCCTCTGTTCCTCAGCCTTAACAAAAAAGAATTTACGTCCGTTTGCCTTGCACTCGGATATGTTTGTCTGTCAGCCATTGTAATGCACTGTTTGGATATCTGTAAAATGGGGACATTGTCCACAGTAGGACCTGAATAAGATAAGATTAAGAATGAGAGGGTGAGAAAGAGAAAAGGCGAGGAGGCATTCAAAAAGTCTATAAGGGTAGATTATTAAATGCAATGAGTTCAGTCTACCACATGAGTAGAATCAAGTCAGAGGAAGAGACTATCTGAATATTACCAAAAATAAAAAAAATAAAAAAAATAATAGTAATTAGCTGCATGAGTAAAGTGAATTTTGGAATTATTTAAACGCACATCTTTAAACAAAGAAACCTCAATGACGCGTGATATTAATATTAACATACAGTATATATTATAGCTTCATTTTACCAGCTTGTATCGGCATCATTGTGGGACAGCAGATAATACAATATCAATAATATTTTCTCTCTTTTAATGCTCTGCCATATTTCAAACACATAAACGTCATTAGGCCATGACAAATGCACATCTGTCACTCGTATCAGCGCTGGGGCTGGGTTCGGCTGGAGCTTATGGCCACTTTCGCTTTCTGGCCAATATGCCGATATGGGCAGCAGCTCAATCAATTACGGAATGGTCATTGTGTTGCCCACAAAATAAGCATAATAAATTTGCAATTAAACGCTTAAACTGTGCAAATGGTTTGCCAATGCGGTAATGCTGATTGTGGTGCAGTCAGCGCTGCTCAAATGGTCATTGGTTAAATGACCATAGCGAAAGCAAGCAACAGAGAGGGAGAGGGAGCAACAGCGAAAGGGAGAGAGAGCGGCCAGCAGATAGATCTGTGCCGTCTGGGAAAGAGATAAATGCGCGCTGTAAAAGCAAACAATGAAAAAGCCAATGCGTGCGACCGAAATAGGCCGGGAGAGAGAGAGAGAGAGAGAGAGAGAGACAGATCCAACAGGACGTGAGTGTAATTAATGCTTAATTATGCACATTAAAAGCCAAAACCTGACAGGACGGCTGCTCCGTACACCGCTGGCCACGTAATAAATGCGCGCCACGTATGGCCCATAAATTACGCTTTCTCTTCCCCCACCCCTCCCATAGAACTGTATTGTGCGCATGCCGCAAGGAGCGCGGGTCGAACTGCCATGGCAGCTGCAAAGCTATTTACAAATATCGAATCAAAACTATTTGCTCATATCATAATTGGGAATCGCAAACTGCAATCCATTAATACAGACTTGCCGAATCGACAAAAAAAGAAACTAAGAGAACAAATAAGACATCTCGAGACTGCACGACTACGAGCAATTCATATTTCAATTATTCTTCGAGTTTTTTCTGCAAACAGATGAAGGTTTATTATGGGAACTTTGCTGTTTAATTGTTTTATAACTTTTCTGGTAGGTGGTCAATATTTATAACAACAAGTGTATAGTTGCCAAAGTCTGGAGTATATGAAATACATTTCTTTTGACGAATGGAGGGAAGGGAGTGAGAATTTCAAAGTCTATTAAATTCATATAGGTTTAAATGTAAAAGTTTTAGAGCCTACCTCTAAAGATGTAGAAGAAATTATTTTATAATTGCTTTAGGTCAGGGTTTTAACGATAATAAAAAAAAATAAATA